TATTTTGAAGAAATGTACAAAGATTCACTTGACAGGCAAAAACTTCATACAAGATGTGCTTTTTAATATACAAAAGCAAGGTTTTACTTACAAGGTTTGTAGTCAAGGAAGCACAATAGCATATGATGAGTTGACATCGATTGAAGCATATATGGGAGGAAAATGGTTCGATAAATATAGAAATTAGCTTAGAATAAGTGACCTCAGATGGATTGAACAGTTTGTCAATTACAACAAGATTAAAATAATAAGCTGGGTCCAAGTATATTATACTAATTGACAAAGTGCACAAGGGAGACAACCACGCTACTATGAGGAAATTACCAATAAAATTACCATAGGAAGAATCAATCCAGATTACATGACTAGGTCTCCCTGGCAACAATCCCTTCCACAATATGATTTGGGCCAATAGACTGAGTAGCAGATCCTTAAAAAAAAGTAAACTAGTCTGGATCGTGATAGATAGAGGTACAGAAAAAAGCAACCTAATAATAAGAAAACTAAGAAAGAAAAATAAAAGTATAACAACAATAAGACATTATGTTCAAGATCTGCACTTACTATATGTGAAGTCTTGCAAGGGATATGAATACAATAAAACAGCCACTATAGATAGCTGTATCATGGAAATCCCAAATAGAGACATGATAGCAGTCCCAGACCATAGCAGACAGGTCCTCTCGAATCTTGGTAAAAGCAAAGTAACCAAACTTTTGGCATCGCTGTAAAGCATCAAGATCAGGTACAAGTAGAGCAAAAGGAATAGTACATGTGAACTGGAAGATGTTTACATTTCAGATCAACCAACTCAAGAGAGGGTTTTGACTGGATCAAAGACTGTACGACCCTAGCAAAGGTCAGTTATTTGCAATGGCAAATGGAAGGTTGGGTCAAAGTCAAAGTAATAACAGATGCTAGCTGTTTTAGGAAATTCCATACCATCACCTTTCAGATTGAAAACCTTGAAACAGGGAAGAGAACTGAGACTATGTCCTTTAAAATCCTTTGCAGAACAATACTGAATGAAGCTAAGCTAAATGCCATTATGGCTGCACTTATTTCCCTTCTATCCAGAGCAAGGATTAAACTGAATATGAATAGTCAAATAATAGCTACAGCTCTGGAGGTGATCAAAAATAGGAGCAAAATCGTGAAACTCATTTCCTATACCAAGGACCTCATCAACAAGAAAAACATGGAGGTCCAAGTTGAAAAAATCAGATTAAATTGCACTATAACATACTCTGAAGTAGACAGTGAGGCCAGAAGAGCAAAATTTAAATGATAGACAACAAGGATGGACAGTATATTACTCAATAAAAATATACTCGAACTGGAATATAAGGACCAATGAATGATTTGCCACAGTAGAGAAGCAGTACGAAATCACTTTAGGAATGAACAAATATAGGAATGATGTGACCTAGAAAGAAATCAAGACCTCCTCCATCTCAATAAGGAAGTGGACTAGAATATGATAGTGGACTTCCTAAGGTTGAGGAAAATAACAGCCGGGCAGACAAACATAGAAGATCATTAACAGAAATCTTTCAAACTGAAATCATGGACACAGGAACTGCTGACATGATCAAACTTCACACATGAAGAAGGAATTTGTATGTCTCCAACAGGTGCATAAGCTGTAACGTCCATATAGAAGATCAAATGCATGTATACAAGTGTGAAGCAAATGAGTTAGATTTTGATATACAAATGATAGAAACAATAACAACATACCTGTAAGCTAAAGAGAAACAAAGCAAAGTTTGGGTCCAAAGATAGGCCACAAAGATCAAACCCAAGAAAGTAAAGCTCTGGACTGCTCTGACGATTAGAAGTTTAATCCTCAAAGCTATCACCAGATTTGTTCAAACATGGGCAAAAATATACAGAAAGAAAGCCAAAGCCACTCTTTTAGGGTATGTGAAAGAACTGCAACATTATGCAAGGATAATCTAGAAATGACGTTGCAAAGTAGTAAGTGAATGGGAAACCACCCAGAAGATCACAAAGATGAAGAAAAAAGTGAGAGGGAAATGGAGCAGGACTGCCCCAAACACCCCATCTAGAAGACTGGTACGCACTATCGGTCTGGATTGGAAGAAAACAAAACCCTTCAATTTCTTCTTTATACGTAAACTTGAGGAAGATGACACTAACTCAGCCTAGGCAAGTTAGTTTTCTGAAAGAAAGGCAACAGGCCACGGAGGTCCTTTGGAGATCTGAATCAGAAGGTATCTTTTCTAATAACTATAACATAAATGCTAATATAGTTTCGATATCTAGTTAGCTCTGAAATAAATAGAACAATGTAATATCTAAGTAAAAACTAAATAAAGATCAACTGGATATTGAGCCCGCAAAAAAAAAAAAAAAATTATTTAAAATATTATAATCCAACTAGTAAAAGAATATATAAAATAAAAAATTTATAAATTATTAACTATGCAATCAAAAGCTTTAAAAATGTTTCTTATATTATTAAAAAAAAATCATAAAATATTAAAATTAATTATGCTTAAAATTTGTCAGAACTAAAAAGGCATATTAAATCAATAAGAAAAATCTAATAACAAATTAGATATACAGTTGCTTTCAAAAGTTTGAGTCCACTTACTATGTTTTTATTATAAATGTCCTATTTCTTCAATTGAACAAATCTATAAATCAAGTTCCATAAGGTCAATAAGATATAAGCAACAAGTCCCCAGATAATAAAAAAGCTGCTATTTGTTCAAGCTGAAATTTTTCTCTTTTATCATTCCAGTTAGGCAAAGTTCAAGATCAAGATCTTCTTTTATCCTAGTTAGGTAAAGTTCAAGATCAAAATCTTCTTTTAATTCTAATCAGGCAATAAAACTGAATGGTCTCTAGTCCAACCCTTTGGTTACAGTTGAGAATGCATTTCTCCAGAAATTATTGAAGAATATAACAATCAACAAGAATTTCTACTGCTTTTCTGGTACCCTTCCACTATTGTGAAGCAAAAAGATCATTGAGAAAAGACTTTTTGAGCAATAGAAAATATATATTATTAAAATTCCTTTAATTAGGCATGGTTGCTAAAAGATATCATACTGTAACAATATGACCCAGTTACTACTAGGTCACATAAGAACCTGGGGTCCATTATAAGTCACCTCCTTATTACAGGTTGATAAAAAATCATTTCTCAAAAAAAGTTGAGAACATGTGTATTCTGAAAGTAAAGGTTTCTACTAGATGATAAGTTTCTTTAGACTATATACAAGAAGGAAATTAAAATCAAGAATAGATAAGTTCCATAGACAATTAGAAAAAGAAAGAATATCCCAATCATGCATTTCTTATTGAGAAGAGATCTTGAGAAATAGGCCTTTGGAGAAGCTGGAAATATTTTTTTCAAATTTTTACTATTTCATTTTCTTGTTATATATTTAGACATTTTTAGATATTTCCTCTACCCTTTTTTTTCAACCCATCCCTTTTATAGTTTCCTATATTCAAATAGTTTGATTAGATATACAGCAGTGATAACCTGCTAACAATAATGCAGTAGACTAGGAGAGTCTTTACCCAAAGACACTGCAGAGTGAAATATTGTTCCCAAGATCAAACTTAGAGACCTTTATACCTATGATGGGTTAGTTAGATTAGGATTAATAGTTTAACTATAGTATGTATTATGCTGCTTGAATGAAAATGTACTTATGTTTTTAATTAATTAATAAACTGACAATCTAGCCTGACTACAGGTACTCAAAAAAAAAAAATAAAATAAAATACTTTATATTAATATATTAGTAAAGTTAAAAGATTTATAAGTTTGTTAAAAAAATAAAAATTGATAAAATCAAATATATTAAAATATATGATATACAGTTTGGAACAAAACTTTTTGCACTCTTTTTCATTTTATTTTTACGTATAATTTAATAACTATTTAATAAAATTTAATAAAAAATATATATATATTTAAGAATAAAAGAATAAAACTACTTAAAGATTTTTTTAAAATTAATTATTAAAATTTTGTTAGATTATATTTTTAAAAAAAAACATTTTTAAAAAAATATTAATTTTAAATAGATTACAAAAATTTTATAATAAAATATTATCATAATTATTTTAATTATTAAATTTATAAAGCAAAGATAAATAAATATATAATTAAAATTTTTACAATTTTTTTATTAAAAAATTTTTTTTAAATTATATAATTTATTTAAGTTTAATAAACAAAAAATATCAATTTAATAATAAATTACTATTTTTTAACTTATTAAAAAATTTTTAAAATTAAATTTATAAAATAATAATTTAATGAATTATTGATTATATTATTATATCATTAAGAATCATCAAGAATTTTTTTATATATTAAAAAAAATTTTTTATAATTAATTATTTTTAAAAAAATTCATTATAGGAAAAATCTATTCTCCGACTGCTTTTTTATATAAATTTATATATAAAAATTTATAAAAAAATTTATTTAATTATTTTTTTAACTTTAAATCAAATTTTTGAAAGAAAATTATTAATTAATTATTATTAAAACTCAAATATTTTTAAAATTAGGTTATAAATTATATATGTTTAAAATTTTATTTTAATTAAATAATTATTTATTAAGTTAGGGGGGTTAGATTTCGTAATGATCGCCTGCGGAGATCATTGAGATAAAAGCGGATGAAAGATTGAAACAGATCTTTAGATCGGGTTAATGGATAATTTAAACATGTATTTTTTTCATAATCCGTGGTGCCAAATTAATTTTGAAAATGTCATATACAGTATGTGAAATGCTCGTATAACTAGTTTCTTGTATTGAATGACTGAATTACCTTACGTTACAAAAAATTATTAACGATGCTAGTGAGGCTAACTTCATGGGGATGTGACTGTTTAGCTCTTTTCTAATAATCGAGCTGATCTAGATAAAGGAGCATTATATAGTTGACTCATGTTTACAATCAAAATATTTCGTAATACTAATAGAAGTTCAAAAAATTTTTCTACGGTGGCAGAATCTGACCGTTGTATGGGCACCTTGGCTTCAAGGAGATGATAGTATCTGTGAATATCTGCCCTATCTCTTATTAAAACATTTAACCGCATTTTTTGACAAGCAACCTGAACCCCCACAATACCAAATTCATCTTTGTCGGGCTTACATCTCTTACGTACATAATACATCTCATCGTTAGCCTCTCGCCAAAGCCTTATTTCATCATCTTGTTCTTTTTGTTTCGTGCGTGAACATTCAACGTATAAAAGCTCGTAATTTCTCTTTCTGTGTTTCACGACAAACATAACATTTGGTCTTCGGCCACTTCGTCTATCTCCCCTCCTGAAAAATGTAGATTTACCGAAAGGAAGATCTTGCAATGTTGCTCGGATGATAGGTAGAATCACGTTCGAAACGTAAGCATCTTCATTCAATGACTTGGCATACTCAGACCAAATTGCTTGATTATTCCAAATGTCATTTCTATAACAAGATTCATATTTAACTATCCCGCCTTTTCACATATGTTATTGATTATGAAAGAAATGAATAACTCTTTATATATACTTACAAAGTATTCGAAATCCTTTCTGCAACAATCGCAAGCCTATAGTCAGATTCTTTCCAAGTACTGTCATGTAATAATTTTTGTGACGAATCTGTTGTACAATTTTCGGATTCATCACATTTTTTTTGGATGAGTGATGAAAAGGATGATATCATCCGAGATGCTGCCCTCATAAAAGAATGATACAAATGATTCGGGAGTTGTTTAATTATATTGGAATCGTCACTGATAACTTGACTTGCTAAAGGCTTCTTCCAAGACAATTCTTCAGTAGATATATTAAGTACATCAGAAAACAGATGTTGATAAAGTGGCGTCTTGATTTTATTGAGTTTTCCTTTCAATAATCTTATATTGTTGGTAAGTTGATTCTCATTGATTTTAACCACGCCGAGATCACACAAATCACATATAGCTTTATAGGAAATGTCGTACTAATGCAGGTATAAAAAAAAAATTATTAATATAAATTCATTCTTAACTATCTCGTCAGATAGAATAAGACCAACGCGTGCGCCGTCAGAATATAGACAAAGCTCTATCTTTGTGTGGCCACCACGCAGATATTAAATAACCACATATACAGCTTAAATACTCCTCACGCAGTCGAGAAAGCTATCCTGTAGGCGGACTAACTCACGCAGTCGAGGAAACTATCCTGTAGGCGGACTAACTCACGCAGTCGAGGAAGCTATTCTGTAGGCGGACTATGAAGTACTCAAACTGTTTTCTCAGTGTTACTACCTGCATTACTCTTCATTTGGGACATCGACAAAAACTACATTATTCATTTAAAAAGTTATCGTCTTACCTCTGAAAAAATTTCGAGAAGAGCTATATACCGAGGAGAACCTTCTTCGCAAAGGTTTTTTGTTAATGTTACTGCTTGATAGACGATACTCTTCAACTCATTCTGTGGTATCCAAGGGTCTTCTTCTAATACTTGGTAAATAACAGAACTGGCGGTAATATCCTCTTCGGTAGCGTTAATTAAAAAGTTAGAGAGTCTAGTAGTGGCGTTCATATTTATAGGAAAAAAATAAAGGAAAAAATTAAGAAAAAAAGTAGCTAGTACCGACATTTTTATATTCGTGTTCATCGCCTTACAAATAAAGACAAGGAAAAAGATGGCTAGAAACCATATCGGGGGTAGGAAGGCGTGAAAAAAACATTGTTTATATCGTGCTTCGTCGTCTTACAAGGAAAGGGAAATGCGAGGTGAAAAAAAAGCCCGAACGAACAGAGACTATATCGGGTGTGGGAAAACGGTTTATATATCTATTTTGGAATATAACGTCATAAAAATTCATGGAACATAAATCTGCTTTTATGATGACAAGGCAATAAAAACAAATAGCCCATTGATTCCTGTCAGCTCAATCGTCGAGCTAAAGGGTTTCATAAGCGTTTATGAAGAAATACTTACATACAATTAAGGTTAGTTGGAAGATCGAATAATTTTTTGAATTGCTCCAGATAGCCTTAGGATAAATATCTCATTGGGCGCAGTGATTGACAAATACTTTGGCATTCTCGCATGTCATTATAGATATATATTTTATGTTGAATATTCTTATGCTATTTAATTAATATTTAGGTAATTGTTGGTCAAATCGTTCACTTTAAAAGAATGCATCCGGAAAATTTAATTAAATAGCGTCGGGGATACATAATTTGTATTTACAAGCGTGTCAATTCTTGTGTCTTATCTCCTGATAGTTTGTGTAACTTCTCGTGTAAATATAAAATCACCGATCACCCAAAAACAGGTGCGATAAAAAATTTTCTTACCTAGCTTTTATTAGTGAGACATAAACATGTCCTCACACGTCACATCCTCTACTTTGGCAGAAGAAAGGTTAACCCGAACGATGGCGGACGTAGTTAGAAAGTTTAAGACGGAAGAGCTTATCGAAGACAAGAAGACTTGAGCCTTGATAATGATGATTTCACCATCCTTCGCAAACGAAAAATTGCTGGGCTTTCATTTCTTGAGATGACTAAGGAAGATTTTTATGAATGTGGGTTTGAAATAGGACCAGCTATAACACTTGCGAAATGATACGAAGCCTCTCAACCTACAAAACTCTGGATGAACTAAAAGACGTTCTCCGCAATCAAACAATTCAATCCAGGCATGTGATGCTTGATTTTATTTTTCTTGGCATTTTTACGGTCTCGCAAATATCTTGATATTTTTAGAAAAATAGATTATATACTAACATTTTTTTTTGTTTTATAGTTTTTGAGGAAATCGATAATAATGATGAAGCATTCAAGCAT